TAATTATAGCCATTCTGACGGGCGTGAGGTGATATCTCATTGTAGTTTTGATTTGCATTTCCCTGATAGTTAATGATTTTGAACATCTTTTCATGTGTCTGTTAGCCATCTGTATATCTTCTTTGGAGAAATGTCTGTTCAGGTCCTTTGCCCATTTTTTAATTGGGTTGGTAGTTTTTTTGTTGGTAAGATGCATGAGTTCTTTATATATTTTGGAGATTAAGCCCTTATCAGAAGTATGGTTTGCAAATATCTTCTCCCAATTGTTAGGTTGTCTTTTCGTTTTGTTGATGGTTTCCTTTGCTGTGCAGAAGCTTTTTAGTTTGATGTAGTCCCATTTGTTTATTTTTTCTGTTGTTTCTCTTGCCCGGTCAGACGTGGTGTTTGAGAAGATGTTGCTAAGACTGATGTCGAAGAGCGTACTGCCTATGTTTTCTTCTAGAACTTTCACAGTTTCAGGTCTTACATTCAAGTCTTTAATCCATTTGGAGTTAATTTTTGTGTATGGTGTAAGGTAAGGGTCTACTTTCATTTTTTTGCATATGGCTATCCAGTTTTCCCAACACCATTTGTTGAAGAGACTTTCTTTTCCCCATTGTATGTTCTTGGCTCCTTTGTCAAAGATTAGCTGTCCATAGATGTGTGGGTTTATTTCTGGGCTTTCGATTCTATTCCATTGATCTGTGTGTCTGTTTTTGTGCCAGTACCATGCTGTTTTGGTTACTACAGCTTTGTAGTATATTTTGAAATCAGGGAGGGTGATACCTCCAGCTTTGTTCTTTTTTCTCAGGATTCCTTTAGCTATTCGGGGTCTTTTGTTGTTCCATATAAATTTTAGGATTCTTTGTTCTATTTCTGTGAAAAATGTTGTTGGAACTTTGATAGGGATTGCATTGAATCTATAGATGGCTTTAGGAAGTATGGACATCTTAACTATGTTAATTCTTCCAATCCAAGAGCACGGAATATCTTTCCATTTCTTTGTGTCTTCTTCAATTTCTTTCAGCAATGTTTTATAGTTTTCGGTGTACAGATCTTTCACCTCTTTGGTTAAGTTTATTCCTAGGTATTTTATTCTTTTTGTTGCAATTGTAAATGGGATGGTATTCTTAATTTCTCTTTCTGCTACTTCGTTGTTAGTGTACAGAAATGCAACTGATTTTTGTATGTTGATTTTGTATCCTGCAACTTTACCATATTCGTTTATTCTAAAAGTTTTCTGGTGGATTCTTTAGGGTTTTCTATATATAAAATCATGTCATCTGCAAATAGTGACAGTTTCACTTCTTCCTTTCCAATTTGGATCCCTTTTATTTCTTTCTCTTGCCTGATTGCTCTGGCTAGGACTTCCAGTACTATGTTAAATAGGAGTGGTGACAGTGGGCATCCTTGTCTGGTTCCTGTTCTTAGAGGGATGGCTTTCAGTTTTTCACCATTGAGGATGATATTAGCTGTGGGTTTCTCATATATGGTCTTTATTATGTTGAGGTACTTTCCTTCTATACCCATTTTATTCAGAGTTTTTATCATAAATGGATGCTGGATCTTGTCAAATGCTTTCTCTGCATCTATTGAGATGATCATGTGATTTTTATTCTTCATTTTATTAATGTGGTGTATTACGTTGATTGATTTGCGAATGTTAAACCATCCCTGCATCCCTGGAATAAATCCCACTTGATCATGGTGTATAATCTTTTTAACGTATTGTTGTATGCGATTTGCTAGTATTTTATTGAGGATTTTTGCATCGATGTTCATCAGTGATATTGGCCTGTAATTTTCTTTTTTTGTGTTGTCCTTGTCTGGTTTTGGTATCAGGGTAATGTCAGCTTCGTAGAATGAGTTAGGGAGCTTCCCCGCCTCCTCAATTTTTTGGAAGAGTTTGAGAAGGATATGTATTAAGTCTTCTTTGAATGTTTGTTAGAATTCACCAGGGAAGCCGTCTGGTCCTGGACTTTTATTTTTGGGGAGGTTTTTGATTACTGTTTCGATCTCCTTACTGGTGATTGGTCTATTCAAATTCTCTACTTCTTCTTGATCCAGTTTAGATGGATCAAGATCCATCCAGATCTAGATGGATCATAGACATAAAAGTAGAAGCTTTTATGGTCTGTTATAAAATTTTCATTAAACATGGGAGAATCTCTTTATGAAATTTAAGTAAACAGTGATTTCTTAGAAATGACCCCAAAAGCACTAAATATAACAGAAAAAAATGATAGATGGAACTTAATAAGAAATTTTTCTGTTAATCTATAAACAGTATTAATAAAGTAAAATGGCAAGTTACATATATCTGAAAAAGGATTTGTATCCCGAGTATATAAAGAACTAAATATCAATAATAGACAAAAAACCTAATAAAAATGGGCAGGAGACTGTGTTGTACAGGGAGTTCATTAATGAGAATATAAGAAAAGCCAATGATCACATGAAACTGGGCTAATATAATTATTCAACAGAGAAACTTAAATTACAAACACATTAAGATAGCATTATTCATTTAGTAAAATGACTAAATTAAAAAAACTGTCAATATCTGATATTGGTGAGAATGTGGAGCATTTAGAACTCTCTTACTACAGTGTTAAACATAGACGTAGCCTATGATTTAGCAATTTCATTCTAGATATTTACCCAGAGATATAAAAATATATGTCCACAAAAAAATTTTACAAGAATGTTTGTAGCAGCTTTACTTATAATAACTAAGAACTGAAAACACCACAGACGTCCCTCTAGGCAAATGGATAAATAGATTGTGATATATTCGTTAGATGGAATACTAGTCAGTAATGAAATGAATGCTACAAACGACATCTGAGAAACTCAAAAGGAAGCCAGACACAAAAAATATATACTGTATGGCCTGTTTTTATGGATACAAGGACAGGCAAAACTGATCTATGATAATAGAAATTAGAGCAATGGTTGCCCATAAGAGATGTGATTTGACTAGAAGTAGGCATAAGAGAGCTTTCTGGGTGATAGAAATACTCTATATTTTTAATGATATGGTGTTATATAGGTATATACACTTATCAAAACACATCTGATTGTACAGTTATGATCTGTGCATTTTATTGTATATAAATTTTATCCTCTTCTCCAAAATAGTGTGAGGCTTATAGAGTCAGATATTCTGGATTTGAACTCCAGGTTCTCCACCCGATAACTATGAGACCTTAGGCAAGTTATGTAACCTCACAGAATTGCATTTGCATCATATGTATTGCGGGGATAGTAATAATCTCAACCTCACAGAGTCATTGTGAGAATCAAGTGAATGTATGCAGAGTATTTGCCAGAGAGCTAAATGCTGTCTTAATGAAAAGACGTCTTATCATAAAAGATATATCTTATCATAAAAAAAGAATATGGTTTTTAAAAAGTTATTAGTGTAAACTAATTAATAATGAAATCAAATGTTCTTAATGATGAATCAACAATCTTACCATTTAAATGACTCTTTATAGTGTACAGCTAGGGTATTTGAGGATACCATATTTTCTTAGTAAGAGAACACAATGAACCCACCATTAAAAAGGTAGAAAAAAAATCATAATTTTAAAAAAATGTATTTTTATTATAAAACAAATACAAACATGGTGCCCAAAGTTTTGAAATTAGAAACGAAAAAAAAAATCACTCATAATCCTACTACCTATTATAACCACTTTTACTATGTTTTAATATTACACATAATCTCAACATCTAACACAACCAAATTTTTTTCCATACATATTTTTTTGTTAGTTTGGATCATTGAGCACACATAATGTGGTATCAGGCATTTTCATTTATTTAGTATTCCTTAGTGTAACTGACTTTCTTTTCTTTTTCCTACTCTTTTTGTAAGACAGATAGTCCTCCTATATGACTCAGTGCATATATTTTGCAATTTTTTAGTTAACTCTATAAATATTTTTTATGGTTAAAAGCCCTGCTTAAAAAAAGTAGTGAACTGCAAAAAATGACAATGTTTCAAATAAATAATCTAAGTCTTATTAATAGAGCATATTTTCAGTTTAGGTTGATCATAGCATATCACCAAGTTGTAGAATTTGCAGTAGATTAGTTAAAACATGGCATTTTCGAGATTTAATATTACCAGTTTTTATGTCATCTGGAGGTCTTATTATTAAATGTGGCATCTTTGTGATGCATTAAATCAATTAATGCCTTTACCAAACTCCTTTCTATGTTAATTAAGGACATTGTGTTTACACTGTGTAAGACTGTGATATCAGTTGAGTTGTGAATGGAGAAGGAGTGAGCCGGTGGATTTAGGATATTTGTGGCAGTTTCTAGTTGATAGAACAGAGATTATGAATCGTTTATGAGACCAAATTCAGATAACAGATATATTTTATTCAAGCGGCACTGTGTTTTACAAAAATAGTTTATATTCACTTAAAATTGGGAGCTTTCATATAAAAATTCAGATCTCACATTTTAGAAATCTGACGACTCTGGGTTGGAATTGCTCATTTCTACAAGCCAATGATGAACCGGAACCGATGGCAGTTGTTCCATTTAAAGAGGGCGTGCCTCGAGTTTTCCACAGACACCACCCAGCCAGTCATTCAAGTTACCCGCCAGGTTAAACAATTCTCCTTACTAGGAAGAGGAACTAGGTAGCAAAGCAACAAGACAAAGTGAGATTGGCACTATACTTTCATTTAACAGGCACTAAATATTTGAGGAAGGGAGACAAACAAACCAGGAAAAAAATGCTATGATAAAAGAGATGAAAAGCTGGATAGAACTCTGGCTTCCAACTTCAACAGCTATTCATTTAACTGCCATTTTTTTTTACACTGTTTGTGGGTAAACATTGAATTATTGTGTGAGCATAGACTACTTGGCTGATTTACTGCATTTCTACCCCCAGCTGTTGCCCTATTGAAGTACCTCCTGTGAATGTTTTCCTGATTCAAGGAACAGTCTGACATATTATTATTAAAATGCAAATCTTTTTTTTAATTTTTACAAAGGCTGAAGAGATAACTTTAACAATCGGCCAAGCATTTGACCTGGCATACAGGAAATTTCTAGAATCTGGAGGAAAAGATGTTGAAACAAGAAAACAGATTGCAGGATTACAGAAAAGAGTGAGTAAACTAAGCTTGTTGTTTCACATTTATGTGATGTAAGTACAGGGAAACTTGCATATCATCAAACAAATTTAGAAGGCCTGCCATTCAATTTCCCCCACACTGATTGGAACTGCTTTCACTGTGTTCCTATAATTTTTCATTCCTGATCCCCTGCACAGTTTTTAACCATTTTATATTGAATTCCCACAAGAACTTAGTGTTCTCATGTGACTTTGCTTCACTTCCTGATGCTTCTCATGGGGATCAGAGCAGCAGAAGCAGCAGATGCTGGGTAAGTGGTTTCCCATGCAGATCAGATTCCTTTGTAATTAAATTACACCCTTTCTCCACTCTCTTCAAAATCATCATAAGCAAGTTTCACTGTCTTGTGGTTATACTCCGAGATTATGGGTACAGATTGCACAGAGCAGAAAGAAAACATAGAGATGAGGTATTAGGAACATGAAATTTGCACATACGTAAAAACTTATTTTAAATTTAATAATATGTCTTTCCAATGACATAGAATTCTCTGCTTCCCAAGCTTTATCAAAAAATTTTCCCCTGTACACAAGAGTACATTAAAATTGTAAATGACATGAAAGCCTATTCGTTAATGTAGCCAATATAATAGCCAATATTTTCCAAGAATGAATTTCTGAAGGTTATTCAATAATCATTTCCTTTTTAGATTCAAGACTTAGAAACAGAAAATATGGAACTTAAAAACAAAGTACAAGATTTGGAAAGCCAGTTAAGAATAACCCAAGTATCAACATCTCCAGTAAGTATATAGAATATGTGTGTGTTTTTTTTAGAAACAAGTTTTGATGGTGATAAAACATCTCTGGATCATCAGCTCTGCAATATTTCAAATAAACTCTGGGATCAGTAATTTAAAACTAAACACGGATAGAGATGAAAGGTGCTAAATAAGATTAATTAAAAAATTAAAGTTACCTAGATAGCTTAGACCAGAGTTGTTTTTCCATGTTGCTCTTTTCACTTGTGTTTTCTAGAATAATTTAGCCCTCAATTTGGTGGCATATTCTTCCTTTCATTCGTATTGATTACTATTTACTGAGGTTAGATTTAATGATCTATGCCAATCTACCCCTGGAGTACTGAACTTCCTTTTAGAAACTGGACTGTTAACAACACTGAATTTGGTTTCTTATATTGCATAGCAAGAGTTCCCACTGGGAGTGACAGAATTGTATTTCAGGCACTGAAGTGAGTGATAGTCTCTGCAGGCAGCACTCAAGTATTTATAGTTAAATTGGAACTGCTTTCACTTTTTTGGTTCATCATAGATTTGAAATCCTTTTCCTAATACCATGTGTAATGCCATTATTTCGTGATTTTGGCTAAGGAAATTTTTTGGAGGGAGATGGAATTTAAAACAATTGGTATTTTTTTTTAGGCAAAATATATTTCGGAGGTTTTTTTTGCTTTTTGAATGATCCGTACTACTGATCTTCTCCATTGAAGTGTAGATTTTATTTTGCATTTTAAAAATATTTAATGTACAACTTACTGGCATGATACTATGAACTGAAATACAATTATGGCATTTGTAAAGTTTGAAAAAGAATTTTTGTTGCAAATTTTCAATTGCAAGTCCATTTTGGTTCACTCTCTAGGCTAACTCAATGAAAACTCTTTAGCATATATATATTTTGCTATCTAGTACTAGAATATTTTGCCAGTTCATCACCATGAAGAATCCTTTTATAAGAAGTTGCATTTAGAGTTTCAAATTTGGTGTGCCCTGGAAATGGGTCAAAAAACTTTCTTTCCTCTAAATTCACACTGAAGCTATTGGTTGCCATTAGTTGGACAGTGGAGCTGATATGGCCAAGATGAGAGAGGTTAGGGGTGATGCTTCCATGTTCCTATGTACCTTTGTTATGCACAATGAGGTGCTGGAGCATCTTTTTCAGGTTCTGGCGTTATTATAATATTCCTTCTTGTTTTTTCTTTTCACTATCATCACTATGTGCTTCTCATTGAGATTATGATTATTTCTTGCCTCTCGTATCCTAAGGAACAAAGCAGCAACTTAAACTCCTTCTTCAACCTTTAATCCCCAAATGCAGCAACACCCTTTTGTGTCTTGTTGAAAGTCTTATTATAAGCCATCCTATGAAACAAACTAGGAGTATAAAGATAAATGAAGGGAAAGATACTTTTTCAAGCAGTCTTAATAAGTCTTCAAGCAGTAGTTATTCCTGAAATTTATTGCATGTGAAAAGTAGCTTTACTTCAGTCTTTGCATTTACAAAGGAGTAAAGTAAGATCCATCACCATTTTGGATGCAAACCCAAAGCTTGTTCATTGTGTACCCTCTGTTTCTAGAAGGCGAACTAAAGATGTCACTTGAGGGGCAAGGTGGATTTAGGAAGAACAAAGAGGTTTGGGGCATGTTGATAAGACAGGCCCTTCTTGTATCTCTTGAAAGCAGACACTGCCATGGACTAGCACTAGGGCGACTGAGAAGAAGGTGGGTCGTGGTTGGGAGTTCTGCAGGTGAACTGGTGATCTCACCTGGTTACCAGTCAGCTTCAGAAATGGCAAGGGGCAGGAGGAATGAAGAGATGAGCTTCAGTTTCCTTGACCCTCTGGTGAGATAGCCATCACAAGCAGTGAGCGTGACAGATGGTATGTAAGTGAAACACAGTCTGTCTGTGACTATATTCATTTATTCAGCAGTTCTCCTTGGTAGAGTCAGTTATATAAAAAACAATAAAATTATTCAAATAGCCAGTTATTAAAATGGATTAGCTCTCCTGAAGTTGTCATTTAATAATTATTATAGGCATTGTGTTCATCTCAGTATTAAATGTGTCTCAATAGAATGCTTCAAAGACTATAACTCAAAGGTTGAATAAAAACAAAGAAATCATTTTCTCTAAACCACTCTTTTGCACTTAATACACGTGTAGAAAATTTATTGCATCATTGATCATTATGCAGATAACTCAAATTATAACTTGGCAATCCACTTATATTCTTTTGTTACAGTAATATCTTTGTATTTTTTCTTTATTTTAACTTTTAAAAATTACTTGTCTCATTACTTTTCGGCTCCTAAAGTCTTATTATATGATTTTTGAAATTGCTGATACACTGGAGGATGTACCTCTTCTTTAAGACAAAAAATAGAAATTATTTGGTTCTTAAAAGAAATTGAACTCAACATTTTAAAATTGCTAAAATATATCTGATTAACTCAAATGGTTTTGAAAATATTGTCATAGGTATTTATTAACACGTTTGAAAAATTTTTCTGAAGAGAATACGCACAAATATTGTTGCCTTTCACTTTCAATTTTAGTTACGTAGTTGTGAAATAAATTAATATAACACTACAGGCATCTATATTTTTTTCACATCTGTTAAAATGAGCTCCCAGTTTTCTGATATTAAAAATAAACTAAAATTAATAAAATTAAATTACCTAGGGTTATTTATTAAGTATGAAATGTTACCATGCTTATAAATATCCACGCTGTTGAAGGTTTGTTAATGATTCCAACTGTTGAAATTGTTTTTGAAAAACAATGAAAATTGTAAATAATTAAATATAAATTCAAAATATAGGTACTGCTTGTTTAATAGCTTGCAATGGGTCTGCAGTAAAGCAAATTTCTGTTAAGTTAGAAATGTTTTACACCTGTTCTTATGAAATTTGAGCATGAGTTTTATAGGACACACAGCCAGGACACCAAGCCCCTCACAGAGTGCCACCATATCTGTTCAAGTTAACGCACAGTAAATGCCAATTGGCTTTTAACTCTGGAAACGAGACTCAGTAGGTTTTGTTTGTTTTGCTCTCAGAGGACAGAAGGATAGAATGCTCCCTAATTGCTAAAGTTCTCAGCAGTTTATTTCAAGGATTAGAGGCAGCAATTAACACATTATTTGAAGAAGCATGGAAGTGAATTATGAATCTCATTATGCACATTGAAATTACAGTGTAGGTGGGTTTGGAATATACAATTAATTTGGCATCAGATTTTCCATGACCTTTCAGTGTGTTATGGAGAGAGGAACCCCCAAGACAGACGACTTCACAAATGACCAGCCCAAGACAGACCTTAATCCTATTAGGAGCCAAATTTTCCTAAGTCACACAAAGGTAACTCTTTTGCCACATAAAATACTCCAATTCAGAAGTGATTCTCTATAAATGATTTAATACTATAATTTGGTTCATAACAATAAACACAGAAACACAATAATTTTCTGAACTATCAAGATTTGCTAGTCAAACACAATATAGTCACATCAAGCAATTACTAGTCAAAGTAAAATAAACGGCTGTCTCTAATCTTAGCTTTAAAATAGTCTCCTTGAGAAGAAGGAGAAGAGAACAAAAGTAAGACTGGAATTTCGGGGGTTTTGTGGCATTAAAAGTAATGTAGAAAATGAAAATAATGTAAATTACTGGAATAGATTAGAATCTTCTTATCAGTGTGTGATGAAATAGCAGATAGACTCAGTTATGGGAAACACCAGAAAAATAAGAAAAAACATTTTTAGTAAAATTTGATTAGATAACTAAAAGATGACAAGCCATCTTCCCCAGCAAGAGGTCCAAAGTTAAAGTTGAATTTGTGTAACACAGGACAATAGTTCAAAGGAACCAGATCCACTAATAAGAAATTACAGTCTTACTTAGAGATGTTGATCTTTTTATTCTATATTAAATCATAGATTAAAAATGTGAGGCCCTGTCGAGTAGAATGTCCCAGATGGAAAGCCTTTATACTTTAAGGAGTCACCGTGTAAGTGAGAACACTGATGCATTTCTCTGCTCTCCTCAGAGGCACCCTAAGGAAAGGTTGCTATTTCCTAGGTGGTGGGCTGCCAACCACTTGTGTGTTATATACGTCATTGTGAATTGGTCATACAGATTTATTTTGAAGATGTATACTAAGTAATTTTAGGTTCAACCTTTTAATGAAAATCTTTAAAAATTCTAAAAAGTCCTTTCATGGTTTCATTATGTAGATTTTAGTTTTGTTTTTATTTTTCCTAGTCCCGCTAAGTCATCACTGGTATTTTGAATGATAACAAGTTAGTCAATGCGAAGGGCTGAAAACAGTATCCAGACCTTTGTGGCTGGAGCATAGTGATCAAGAGCCAAAATAGTTGGAGATGACATTGGAAAGACAGCCAGAGTCTAGATTTTATAGGTCCTTATATGCCATGGTAAAGGTTTTGTAATTTTTTTTAGATTACAAATAAAATAATGAGAAGTTACTCAAAGGTTTTAAACAGGGGATTTGGGGACCATCTGGCTGCTGTATGTACCATGGGCTATAGAAAGGCCAAAGTGAGGTGCCAAAAATTAGCTAGGAGGCTATTTCAATAGTCGAGGAGTGGGGGAAGTGTAAATTAGTCTAGAATTATGTCAGTTGAGATGATGAGCATAGCTTGATTCTTGACAAATTTGGAAGTATAGCTTGCAGGATGTACTGATGGATCGGTTGGGGGCTGTAGAATAAAAGAGGGATCAGGATTATCCCTTAGAGTTTTATCCTGAGCATCTGGGTGGCAGTGCCATTTTCCGAAATAGACATGACTTGGGGGAGGTGAATAATAAAGAATCAGTAGTACTTCACTTTTGCTCATGTTACTTCTGCCTACTGGGCGGCCAACTGGAGATGTTTATTAGACGGTTGGATATACGAATCTGGAATTCAAGGAGGAGGTCACAATATAGTACTTGAATGAAAAAGGTTTGCTCTTTTTCTGTCAACATTTGGACTATTGTTT